CCAATGTGCCCGCCAGGACATACTTGACTTCGAAGATGGGGCTCTCTCAACTTCCCTGGAGACGAAGTAAGCGCTCTAGGCAAGGCCAAATATTAAATCCATTCAAGAGGCCGGGATGCCCCATGCCACATCCACCTGGCCAGTTTCTCCCTAGAGTGAGGGCTGCAAACTCCCCCTGTGGAAATGGACCTGATTCCTTTGGTTGGCATGACACAGAAACATTTCTGGTGGAATTGGCATACATCCCAGGGCCAGGATGTGTCCTGTCTGTAGTGGCTAGTGAACCTAAGGTAAGAGGGGAGGAACTTGGACAGGATATTATCGGGATGGACATGGAACAGGTCCAGATATGGTGTTTGGAAAGGTTATACTGTTGGAAGCCAATGGGGTTGTGAGGGCTGTCAGAAAGATGGCAGGCAATGGAATATTAAGGGATCCACTGGAATACGGGGCAGTGAGGTGGTATGGCGGGAGGACAGAGTTACCAATGGAGGATGTACAGGCTTTGGATTTTTTTTCTGTCTATCAAAGGATTTGGCAAGGTACAAGGAGTTGTGGACTGCAGAGGTAATTATGATTGATGAGTGGAGGATCTAGGATTCTATACAGGGAAGGATTTGATGTCACCACAGCTGAGTATTAATAAACAATAAGAACAACTACAGCAATCAATCTTAATTTATTTTCGTTGAAATAGCTGGATACAGGTAAACTTAAATCATCAACTGGTTACACCCGTGAGATGCACTGGCCAGGTACATCTCGGTGCCTACCTCTGGTTAGGGCCAGAGATTGCACGTGTCCGTCACCTCCCTATATCAGAGGCGTGGGCCATAGATGGTGCACCATCCGTCCCCTCCCTCCACCTACTGATGCGGGCCATAGACCGTGCACATCCGTACCTCCCTCCACCAGCACCAAAATCCACAAGTAAAAATAAAAAAATATATATCTGCATCCAGTATCAATCATAGGTTAAATCTTCCACTCAAGTCTAATTTCGGCTTTGGCTTGGTACAGTGGTTTGGTTAAGTTTTTGTTGATATTGGTTTTGGTATGCCTGGAGCCTGTGAGGGCAAGCTCTCATGAAGTGATTTGGTGAATTGCATATATGGCAGTTTTTGTGCGATGGGTAAGGCCTATGGTTCTTATTGGAGCTGTGTTCAAGGCGATCTAATCTTGAAATAAGGTTTTGAAGAATGGAGTTAATCTCGCTGTTTACATCTTTTTCGGGCTTCTGCTCATCAAATGACCTTTTTGCTCTCCCGTGTGATTCAACTGCACAAACATTCAACTTGCGCTTTCCGGAACTATCCCCAAGAATAGACTCATACCGTTCGATTACATCTACCACTTCAGCCACCGTCTGACAATCTTTGTCAATGCACCGATACTTCATTTCAAGGGAGATAACTTTATACAACTGATTGAGAGCTAATGCTTCTTGAGCTAAGGCATCTAAATTATGGTAGGCTCTTTGTGCCATCTGCCTGATGTCATCACCCAGTTCTGCTATGGACTCACCTGGAAGGCGTTGTCTCATCTCAAGTTTAGAAAGCCATCTGTTCTGATTTCTAGTACTACCAAACCTTTGGTTAAGTTTGTGAACAAGAGACTGAAAGGTTTCTTTATCTTCAGGAGATAAACCCATATAGTAAGTTCTGGCTTGCTCGCGAAGACTTGCGGCTAGGAAAAGTAACTTAGTGCGGTCAGACCATCTGCCCAACTCAGCACAATTTTGAAAATGGGAAAGGTATTCATCCCCGTCATCTTTACCATTGTAGGACTCTGGCTTTACAACTATATTAGTCTCAGGGAACTGTCTAGTCACATCATTCAATCTGTCATATTGCATTCTGGGATGAAAACTTTCTGGATATGTTACAAATCGATCTCTGTTGCAAAGGTCTGGTTCATCATTGGGAACTGGGCTATGGCTAGGTCTCTCTGGACGTTCTGGGGAGGGGGAAGAGTCAAAGAACTGGTCACCTTGGCCTATCTCATCATCATCATCACGAAATTACACTTCAGGGTCTGGGGATTGAGTTGTTGCCATCTTACTAGTATTAATTAAAATGCAAAACCACAAACTATAAGTTAACAAACACTCTATCTACATTATCTACATGTAATACCAACACACTGGACAGCTGAGCGGTTACTTGGCAGGGAATGGGCTTGTATCACTGAATGCCTTAAGGAAAATAGGCATCCCACTTCTGACACCAAAGATTGTAAGCTCCCCACGGATGGCCATCCTGGAATGGGGGCTATGCAAAATAATAACACACAACACTTCTCAAGGTCACTCCTTATTGCTTGTTTCATATTTCTTAGTAATGCAACTTCTCGGTAAGGACAAGGCTTGGTATCAGTTTAATAATTGGTTTATTAATTGATCATTCAACAGGAAATAACAATAGGTAAACAAACATCTATATTAGATACATATAGATAATTAATATTCGTTTTTGATCCTTAATGTCAACCGTACTTTAATGGTAAAAAATAGTAAGAAAGTTGATTTGGCATTAAAAAGCTCTAATAGAATCTAACATCAGGTGTCCAGTGTGTTGGGAGATAATTTACAGTTGTCTCACCTAGGATTAGGCTACTCCTGCGATGTTGCTTGTGCAACTCTATCTGCCATAGAGACTGGCGAGGCACTTAAATTTATAACCTTCGGAAGTAGTCAGATGACACGAATTAACCAATGAAAAAGCTGTACGGCGACGTTCCACCAATCACGGCACTGTGCGGTACCGTACAAACAAAGATCTGTCAAACAGTGTCAAACAAGGCTGTCGTACAATGAGGATAATAACTACAAAACGGAATTAAAATGAGAAAAGACAAAATAACCAATAAATATGGATTACAAAAGATGTGTCTATAATAAGTAAGTAAACAATCCATGTGAATTAAACGCGTATTTCATGATAGAAAACTGCAATCGTATAAGCAGACGATATATTCACATAGCTTTGTCAAAGTAAAAATATGTAACTACCATTAAATTCCGTTTAACGTAAAAACCCTTGATAAATCTTAGTAAAACATATTCAAACATTAATTTTGTGGATATTCACAAGCAATTATAACATCGAATTGCATAACAAAATATAACTTGCTCAAATACGAAACTCTGGCTAATACAAATAAGATGTCGGCGGGTTGTAAACAACATTCCATGACACCAACAATCGTGTGCAATTGTGGCTATTGTCAAGCGCTTATTTGACTCAAAAATAATCAAGTAAAATACAGCAACATGCAAAGATTCTGAAGGTATGCACATGAATTCATAAAATGTAGGATTTCCTGTATAAATCCAAACAACAAGTATGTCAAATGTGCTAAAAATAGACAATACCACGTTGAGTAAATAATCAAAGGACTGAAATGTCGTAGTGTAGTTAATGCATAATAAAATCTACCCAGATAATATTCACCAATAAATGTTGACACAATTAAATCATTAAAAAAAAAATAACTAATTAATTAAATTCTACCCCAGGCCATTACAATATGTTTACCTATGACGTCACATATAGAAGTTTCTGGATAACATTTGATAGGACGAGTTATTCCTCTTTACACGTTACCGTAAAACAATATATATATAGCAACACGTGGACATTATGGGAGGCGGTGGTATCATTTAGTGAGCTCATTGCTCACAGTACCTCTAGTTTTTATACCCCGCTTGAAAGTGGGAGGGTATACTGTAATCGGTATGTCCGTCCGTCCGTCTGTCTGTTACGCTTTGGGGTACCCATCTCTTATCCACAACTCCTCTTATAGCAATGAGTGAAATTTAATGAAACTTTCACTGAATCTTTATTACATATTGCCATTGTGCACCTCTTATTTTATTTTTTGATCCGACACATATTTTGGGTTTCCCGGCCACAGCAAAACATGGACTTTGCCATTATAATCATATGGGAGGCAGGGGGGGGGGTATCATTTAGTGAGCTCATTGCTCACAGTACCTCTAGTTTTTATATGCAAAAAATGTTCTACGTACAAAGAATTTCTTAAATAAAGCAATTTATCGACAAACAAGTTGATAAAACAAGAATTTCACCAGTTAAAGTAAATATTTCGCAACTTTTAGGTCGATGCAATGCAATTGTTAGCAAAACAATCAATCATCAGTTCAAATGTTGATTGATGCTTTCATGTTTATTGTTTGGCAATTACTTTTATTCACACTGAATTGTCTCCGATTTTTATGTTTACCCGATCATGACAAAGAGCACATTGCGGGTTTGACCTGCTTATGAACAGGGAAAGTTTATTACCACATGGCACCTGATTCCACCTCTGATGTTTTAGAGGTCCGTGTTTTCTGTGATTTCTCTGCCTTCGAAATAATGACTTCAAACGAGACCTGTTTCATTAATTTGTTTGACAATAGTTTGCCTATTTTTGGAAATTGTTCATACACATTTAGCATGCTCTTGTGTATCGAATCATATGAGACACTAGACTGCATATGCAGGTGATATATATAATATAAGCATCTTTTAATTAGTAACAGATTGCGCAAACAATTGATTTTTTTACCATTCGAAATTGCCATTTCGAAAATGTAAAATCTCCTATTGGAATAATTGATATCATCCATTCAAATAGGTTATATCACATATTTATATAACTGCACTGCATATCATAGTATGATTTTTAAGATTGAATAGTCGAAATCTTTAATGGGCAATAAATAAAAACCCGAGCCTGATAGACATACCGTCGTTATATATATAAATGTGAGATAAGATCAATGTTTATTGTTTATTAATTAAAGAGAGCTACAAAACAATGCCTCGGTTTTGAATAAAGTTCTTTGATCGTTTGTTTGAGGACAATGTCCCAAAGAACTAGCGATGTGCGTTTATTTGTTTAAACAATTTAATGCAGATGACAACAATTTTAACATGTAATTACCTTCTCTGACAAGGACAAATTCCCAAAAAGATAATGTATATGAAGAAGAAATGGAGGAGGAAGAAAATGTTGTGGATGATCCTTTCCCTGGCATTACTGACATAGCACTTATCGTGGAGGATAGAGAAATCCACACCGTTAAAGCCTTCTTAATGAGTGCTTCTCCGGTATTCAACGCCATGTTCACCTCTGATTTTAAAGAAAAATCAGAACAAAGGATACATTCGCCAGAGAAAACGTACGATGATTTCGTGTTGTTTTTAAAAATGTTACACCGCAAGGAATACTTAGAACTGAACGGTGAGATATAAGTATGCTTCTTATGCATTGTTTAAAAGTTACTATAATTACGTAATAAATTTTCCACAAAATACATAGATATACTTTTTCTTCAAATGAATTATGTATACTTAAACATAAACCGAATTTTTAATCCTTTATCTATATGATCATATTGTTATTATTTACCAGAAATCCCTCTGGAGGAAACCAACAATTTTTTTATCATCTTCATGAGTTTTTCCTGAAATTCTTTATAATGCATTTCACAGAGGACAAAGTGTTCAAAGCGAATCCTTCCGTTGGCAAGAGAATATGAAACACGGCAGATAGTGAAAGACTGTGAAGCCTGGATGATATCACGACTGTCTGTAAAGAAAAGTCAAGAAAATGCTTTCATGTGGAGGGGCAACAGATCTCAGGATCTTTATTACCTGATTGAATGGTTGACAATTGCAGACGATTATCATCTTAACAATCTCCATAGCAACCTTTTTGACATCATTACAAAGTACGATTTTCTGATGTCATTAGATAACTGTGGAGCTTATAAACGTCTATCCCCAGAGACAAAGACAGAAATTTTAGAAAAAAGACTATCCAATGTTGAAAAGAGCATACGCGATGCATATCACTGTGCATGTCAACGTGAATATGCTTTGAACTGTCCCATTGCAAAAATAAGAGAGGACATGTGGATCTATAAGTAATAGCCAGATTGAAGTATTACTTTTGGACAATATCTCGTAATAATATAGAAACTTAAATAATATTTATTTCCTTTTGGAATATCTTGTTTCAATTCCTATGTATGATAATGAAATTCAAAAGTGTTTTAATTCGGAAAAAAATGTCCCATTTTACTACAGCAAAAAAAAAAAAACAACAACAACAACAAACAACTAAATTTCAATAGACAAGGTCAGTAAAATGGTGCACCTCCTTTCTTACCTTTTCATGTATTTCTTTTGATTTATTTTGGGTTTCCCAGAGCAAAACATTGACTTTGCATTTATAACCATATGGGAGGCGGGGGATGTCATTTAGCTCATTGCTCATATTTTTCATTTCTTTTCTTAGCTCACAAGTATCCACCTGTATTTTGCACTTTTAAAGTAATTTATAACTTAAAATACTGTGTAATAGGTCATTTAACCCGAAAATTAGTTTTCATTAAAAGTCGACAAACTAAAAATGCTAATAACAGCAATGAAAAACAACTAACCTAACCTCGAGGAGAGACATCGGGGCCCCAACGTCTCTCCTCGAGATGAGGTTAACTGTTTAAGATGCATGCTGGGAAGGGGCCGGCTACCCTCCCCCTCATACAGCAGTAAAATGCTCGTTTTCTTCATTTATCCGGTTGATATTTTCGTATTAAATCTATTGTGTTTGAAAATGTGAATTGTTTCCTCTTTTCATCAAAAGAGAATTAATAAAAACGTTGTTATTTTTTAAAAGATTTGTTTTACACCAAACAATGCATTTACTCTTTAGAATCTTGTATGATTGGTAATCTGTTTTGTCCAATGACTTTGAAAATAATTAATGAAAAAATTACCAGTCTAATCAGTAAAACCAAAACACGAAAACGAAAGTAGCATATATTTCAGGTGTCTCCATATTCTGTTTTTATGCCCCCCGTAAACAAAGATTCGGGGTATATAGTTTTTGCCCTGTCCGTCCGTCCGTCTGTCTACATGTTAGTCTGCAAATGTTTTAACCTTGCTCATTACTTTTGAGAGGGTTGGGCTTTTGCTTTAATACCCGGTATTTGACAGGCGTATGTCCTGGTTTACCATCAAATTTGGCCTATTGACGTTTTGGAGTTTGACCCACTTTTACAAAAACTTATCACTTTAACCTTGGCCATGACTTTTGAATAGTTGGAGCTAGCGCTTTCATACTTCACATATGTATTTATTGTGACAAAACCATTCTGTTGAAAGAAATATTTTTCACCTTGAACTCAGAGTTTGACCCACTTTTCAAAAACATAAACCTTCGCCATAACATTTGAACAGTTAGAACTAGGGCCTTCATATTTCCTTGTGACAAGGTCCTTGGGTTCCAACAAATATGATTTTAAACCTTGACCTTTGGAGTTTGACATTCATTTTAGAAAATTCAGCCTTTGCCATAAGTTGTCATACGGGGGCATCAGTGTTTCACAAACACATCTTGTTTTTAATATTTTCAAATGACATGTATACTTAACTAGAGCTAAATGTAACGGGGACCGTTACAGATGTTCCCCAAACGCTCCCCAACTCCCTTTTGGTGCCATATTCCCTGTAAGCTCTATTAAATAAGACATACTTTATGCAATTTAGACTTAAACATCGTTTTTCCAGAAGAATACAAATTATATTTAAATTTTAGCTTTGCACGCGTGCTCATTTGAATGCATGTGCGTAATAACCATATCATCTTGTCTACACTATCTATATATTTTGATATACTTAATTTCAAAGCATTTAATCCAAAAGTATTAAAAATATACTCATTCAAACGTATTTTTAATTTTACTCATTTCACGTGCACGCACGTGCAAGCATGTGCATGATGACCATACCTTCTTGTAGGATTTTATTATGTCTATCTATATTCTAAATCCCATCTTGTTTGGTTGAAAAACAAGGGAGTTATAACCATTTTAAGCTTAGGCCAATCAGATTGCAGCGCACGTGCATGCGCGTACTCTCATGACAATTTTTATATATCATATTGTAGGACATCCTAAAGTATGCTTATGTTTTAAGTTTCATAGCATTTAGTCAAAAAACAAAAAAAGATATTGAAATTTTTGTTTCAGCCAATCACAGCAAAGAGCACGTGCACGCACTTGCATGCATGTACATGAGGACCATACCTTCTTGTAAGAGTCCATTATGTCTGTCTATGTTCTAAATCCCGTCCTGTTTGGATGAAAAACAAGGGACTTATATCCATTTAAAGTTTAAGCCAATCAGATTGCAGCGCACGTGCATGCGCGCGTTTTCATGACAATTGTTATATATCATATTGTAGGACATCCTAATGTATGCATATATTTTAAATTTCATTGCATTTCGTTAAAAAACAAAAAAAAGATATTAAGGTTTTTGTTTCAGCCAATCAGAGTGAAGCGCACGTGCACGCACGTGCATGCATGTGCATTATGACCATACCTTCTTGTAGGAGTCCGTTATGTCTGTCGATGTTCTAAATCCCACCCTGTTTGGATGAAAATCAAGGGACTTATAGCCATTTAAAGTTCAAGCCAATCAGATTGCAGCGCACTTGCATGCGCGTGTTTTCATGGCAATTGTCTTATATCGTATTGTAGGGCATCCTAAAGTATGCATATATTTTAAATTTCATTGCATTTCGTCAAAAAACAGTTAAGATATTGAGATATTTGTTTCAGCCAATCAGAGCGAAGCGCACGTGCATGCACGTGAGTTCATGCTAATTTGACAGTGTCATATTATATACACTATTAATATATTCTTATATAATGAGTTTCAAAGAATTTCATCAAAAAATGTAAAAGTTATGGCTATATTAAATATATCAGTCATTTCACCCATTTCACGCGCACGCACGTGCATGCGTATGCGCGCAAAATGACCTTCGTTCCGCAAACCTACACTACACACCTATTAACCCTAAAAAGGTTTTGAGGTTTCGTGGTCTAGCGGTATGTCTCACGCTTCTCTTGTGAGAGGTCCCGGGTTCCACTCCCAGCCGTTCCATTTTCTTTTTTCCCGAAATACTTTTTTTTTTACTAAATGATAGTATTCAGCACGTGAAATGAAAAATTTATGAGGTCTGGATTGTACAAACTCATAAAATCATCATTACCGTGTGATAAATATTCATCTAAAAAGAATCTTCTATGCACATAATAAAGAATAAGCAATCAAATCTTTATATCCATATTGGCATATTTTATTTACTTCAGTATACATGTATACATTTAATAATTTTACAAATTCAGTCAGGGGGATCCGACTCCCCCCCCCCCCTCCCTCCTCCGAACTGCGCGTGGTTTACTTTTTCCCTCAGCGGGGGACACACATTTTCTGAATTAGCTTGTTCACCCCTGCATTATTGATTACAGAAGGATAGACGTGTTTCATACCAATTTTTTGTAGGCTTTTTTAAAACTAATTTTTTTCTACCGGATGTTATACTTACTTGAGGTTTTAGAGGTCCATGTATGCTCTGCTCCAAGTTTGTATTGTTCAAGCTTTTATTGTTGATTGTACCAACCTCTCTATAGTGGGTGCGTTCAGAGTACTACCGTTGACTGACAAAAGTTACCACTGGTAGAATTTCTGATCATTGGTATGCCAATAGTACCAATGTTTGCCGACAAAATTTACCATGGGTAGACTTTTCTGCAGACGAATTAGTGCTCTGTTAGCGATGGTAACCTTTTTAATGACGTAAGACAAAATGACGGGTACTGATCGAGTCGGTCCTACTAAACAGAGAACACGAGAGAACTCAAAGTTTTTTGGGGTAAATTCAAATAAATTTTATTCATAATTGAGTTCATATTTACTCTCCAAATCTTTTTCTATCATAACATAAATAACATGATTGTTCTATGAAAGTTTTCCCTCGGAAAAAAGTTGAAAAGTTACAAATCTGTAATTATGTTTTTATCACACCTATATGCATGAACTCTGTATACATATATATATAGGTGTGGTACGTCTGATTTAAATGTAGTTTTTCATGACTGAAAGTTTCAAAATCTTTATTTTATAAAAACTTCTAACTGTATTTAAATGTAGAATCAAAATTTTATTAATTTGATTGTTTTATATTTGACAATCCGGAAGACAAGTTGAGAAAAATTCTGCTGGGGAGAAGTGCTTAACTGTGCTAAAAAAGTATTTCTGAACTCATTCTCTCAAGATACGAGTACATGTGCATGTACACTTAACAAAACTTCTAAGTGTTCACTTTAATAAATGCATATATTGAAAAACTACTTTATAGAATGGTATGATATTTTCAAATTATTACAACAAATGAGTCTTCTCAACAATTGTAGAAAAAAATAAAATATCACCGATGAAAACCAATGTACCGTGACGAAGCTTAAAAACGATAAATCTTTACTTTGTGGCACGTGTTTCGTGTAATAAACATCTTTTTGTGATCATTATCAAATTTTAAATGCTGGTTTCACTAAAAACCACAAAAGATTGGAAAAATGACCATTGAGATAGAAGGGAGAGCCGTTGGAATGTCGATATCTGGATTATTCTTTCACCATGTTTTACTCACTTTTATTTTAGTGTTTAATTGACCTTGATATTACTTTTAAAAATTAACAACCAGTATCAAAACCCATTTAAACACATTTTTCTATAGGCTGTGCGTCATTTTTCACCGCAAATTTATCACAATTTGAAAGTTATGGACAAAATTTAACCAAACCGGAAGTGACCTTGATCTTTGTCAAAGGCCAAAATTTCGCGTCACACCAGGTTAAAAGAGTGTAAATTGTTCTGAAACAATCTTAGAAACATGAAAACAAACAATTTCAATCACATGAAAATGATATGAAATCGGTGCTCGTCACAGTCTAATATCAGCTCAAGCAGTCTGAATCATCCTTAAATCGGTGCACTTGAGTGCTAAACACCCTAAGATATTGACCAAAAGGCATCTGTTTGATGATACACTGTCAAATTTCCGGATCTGAATCTCACTGAACACATTTGGGATTTTTATACGGAATGTCAAAGCCCCCCCCCCCCCTCCACACAATTTCAACGGTTTGGAAAGATCTATGCAGTAAGTGTGGCAGCAGATGGGTCAGTCTCCTATTCAGGGGTACTTGATATCCTACAGTAAAAATTGTCTTGTAGTAATTAGAGCGAGTGGTGGTCTTACTCCATAGAGATTTTTTGTGTGTGAATTTTCATTTTGAGGGTACATCATTTCTTTGACACTTTGCTTAAAATTCTGACGAGATACTTACATGAAATTTATGCAACATTGATCTTAAATATGCATCATTAACCATGGATTAATGAAATCATTTATTGTATGCATTTGTTCTTTAAAACTTAAAAAATGTTAGGTGAACACTTAGAAGTTAGGTTTAGTGTATTATCGATAGTTTGGGGTAATGCAACACTTTTGCGTTCTCCATCCATATCGAGATTACTTTGAGCTTTTTCAACGACAGTGTCTTCTTAAATGTCGACCATTGATCCCCCTCTAGATCCGCGCATGCTCCTCGATCCAAAACGTCCAGATACAACCGGAATCCTGAGAAATTTTGAAATAGTTTTGTCATTGATATTATGTGTCTTCGGTTGTGTATTTATCATCTTCGCTAGCCTAGGGTTTCCGATCCGAAATCTCTACAACGTTGTATGGTAGATTTCGACAGGAAACCCTTGGCTAGCGAAGATGGTATTTATAAGAGAGAATGTGTTAGAGTGGGGAAAAAGATATATATGTAAAAAAAAAAGAGAGAGAGAGAGCGAGAATGAGATAGAGAGAAAGAGTGTCACCCGTAAGATAATCCCATCGTTTTTCACACAACACTAGCGTCTCTGGTGTCCCAATTCTGTTCACATATCGTGCCCCAGCATCCATCCTTGTAGATTTCAACACGCCCCTCCTTCCAAGATTCTCCGTTAACCAATCGAACACCATCTGTAAATCAGTGATGCTTATAAGTGACCTTATAATGTGATATTATAAAAAAAATGTAATGGACTCTTTCGGTGGTTTATACGGTTTGTTACTCACCAGAAAGATATCAACATTGACCGAGGTGTTTGCAAAGATTTTAATTTTTAAAGGGCCTATTTTTAGACTATATAATTTTTGTTCCATGTCTCCTCTTTCAAAAAAAAAAATGCGAAATAGTCTATTAATATCCTTGTTTCATCAACTGTTTTGTTAACATCTTGCTTTATATAAGAAATTTTTCATACGTAGAGCACACTCCTGAGTATCGAATCAACTGAGAGGCATAAATCCCATATACAGGTGATAACAGTATATTGGCACATACATATGTAAGGAAAGTTCAAGATAGAGTATCGAACCATTTGGCAATTATACATACATATCTATCAACTGATGCACAGAAAACTTATTTTACTACAGACAAATGGATGAAAACAGAAACATTAAATTACAAAACATTATAGTTATCTACTCCATATCAACTGAAAGGACACTTTACCTTTAATAGCGCTGACATTCCGTTTGTTGTCCGTTTCCTTGAAAGATACAAGATTGGGATCACCTTTATCTATGTAAGTTCAATTTTGATCCAACAGATTACTTTTTACTTTATATTTGTCACGATTCTTCAGTTGTCTTAGATCTTCTGATAGGTCCGAGTGAATAGCAAGTTCGGAATGCTGTTCAAAAATTGTCTCTTACAATGCCCTGTTGAGTTAACTGTCAGGAACAAAGTTTGGAGTTCATCTTCAATCATCTTCAACATTGCTCTTTGTTGATCCATCTCCTGCTTTTCGGTCATATTTTCTCTGACATCTGTAACGTTTTACGCTGGTTCTGACATATTCGACGTAGTTCATTTATTTCTTTCCTGTAAGTCCCACAAATAATACTTACTTTCTCTAAGGTAACGTTCATGTCATACACATCGTTTTGTAGGGCACTTATCTTGTATTTCATATTTTCATTTTCTTTTCTTAATTCAGACATTTTTGCCTTTGAGGTAATTTGTTCCTCTGTCAAAACTTCAAAAAAATCGTTATTTTTCTTCATTTCTATTTTGTTCATTGTAAACTCTCGCATTTTCTGAACCATGGAGAATCTCACCATACTCTCTCTTGATTCAATATGTCTTGCAGAATTCCAGACTCCTTCCTCGGGGTGGAATTTAAAGAGGAAACATCAATTACTGTATTATTAACAACCAAAGCAGAGTGCATTCTGTAGAATGAGGAACACAAGACATTGTATAAAACAAAATTTCTGCATTGTACTTGTGCTTGTACAAATAAAGTAATTTCTCGTGAATGAAGAAGGACATTTGATGTAATGAAATGGAGCTTGTACCAATGACAGTATATATATGTTGATTAATGAAATAATGGATGATAAAATAGTTTTTTACTTAATTGGACAATTGGGAGGTAGATAATTACATTATTATAAGAAATCTTATATTTTGTTTACATCTAAACGTTCCTTTATAATTTCGTTGTTGTTATTATGTGTAATTATACAGAAAATATGAAGTTTATATATACTGCTTGCATACAAAAATTTAACTGAAATTGGCTTAATAACATACCTGAGCAAAAGTCTTACACAAAGAGATCATAAGAGTTTTGCATATCTATAATATAAAAATAAAGATATCAGTGACCGATTTCAAAATTCAGTTATTAAACAAGAGGCCCATGGGCCACATTGCTCACCTGAGAAGCTTTGACCATTCGGTTCTTTACCACATTTCCCCCTTGTAAAACATATTGTCACCCCACCCTACCCCACTGATCATAATTTGAACAATTTGAAATCTACACTACCCCAGGATGCTTCTACATAAATTTCAGCTTTTCTGGCCCAGTGGTTCTTGAGAAGAAGAGTTTTAAAGATTTTTCCTATATATTTCTGTGTAAAACTTTGATTCCGTATTGTGGCCCCGCCTAACCCTCGGGGTCATGATTTGAACAATTTAGAATCTACACTACCCCAGGATTCTTCCAGATAAGTTTCAGCTTTTCTGGTCCAGTGGTTCTTGAAAAAAAGATTTTTAAAGATTTTTCCTATATATTTCTGTGTAAAACTTTGATTCCCCCATTGTGGCCCCGCCCAACCCCGGGGGTCATGATTTGAACAATTTAGAATCTACACTACCCCAGGATTCTTCCACATAAGATTCAGCTTTTCTGGTCCAGTGGTTCTTGAGTAGAAGATTTTTAAAGATTTTTCTAATATACTTCTATGTAAAACTTTAATTCCCCATTGTGGCCCCGCCCATCCCTCAGGGGTCATGATTTGAACAATTTAGAATCTAAACTACCTGAGGATGCTTCCAAATAAGTTTCAGCTTTACTGGCCCAGTGGTTCATGAGAAGAAGACTTTTTAATGAACCCACTCTATTTTTGTCTTTTCTTCATTATCTCCCCTTGTTAGGGGACTCGGACCTTCATTTTAACAATTTAAATTCCTCTTTACCCAAGGATGCTCTGTACCAAGTTTGGTCAAAATTGGCCCAGTGGTTCTTGGGAAGAAGTCTAAAATGTGAAAAGTTTACAGACGGACAGACAGACAAAATGTGATCAGAAAAGCTCAATTGAGCCTTCGGCTCAGGTGAGCTAATAAAACGAAGTAATCTATTGCCAAACAAGTCGATAAAACAAGGACATCAACGGTGTCGTTTAAGTCATCATTTCGTAAGTTCTATGATCGATACAATGACTTTGTCAGCAAATACAATCTATCATTAAGTGTGACTGAAGTTTTTCACACTTATTGTTAGGTCATTATTTATACTGAATTGTCGACGGATTTTCCCCTTATTTCCCGATCCTGAAAAGGAGAACACAGTGGATGTGACCGGTCTGCAGTGAAAAATTACATCTCCATGGTACCTGACGTTTTTGGAAGTCCGTGTTTGCTCTGCTTCCGGTCTGTATTGCCGAATTGGACTTGAATACTGTTTGTTATCACTATATTTAACAATACGGATTTGTGATCAGGACTTAAAACATGAAATCCGTGATAAAATTTTCAAACACACTTAAAAATATATAAAACAAATATCACAATCATACTTTTAAAATAAATTAAAGTAAAGATGGAATAATTAAGGAAAATTACTATCTTTCAAACTTGCCTCAATCCTGATTGAAGTAAAACGAACATTTTTTAAGCCCGATGGGAATTCTTCCAAATTGAAAAAAAAAATCAATTTCAGTCTGATGCACACCTGAATTTATTTGGAGTTTATGTCTCCTTTTTTATATGCAAAATAATGCTCCACGTACAAAGATTTTCTTAAATAAAGCAAGTTATCGAAAACAAGTTGATGAAACAAGAATATTAACAGTTAAAGTAAAAATTTCGCAAGTCCCAGGTCGATGTAATGACATTGTTAGCAAAACAACCAATCATTAATTCGAATGCTGATTGATGCTTTCATATTTATTGTTAGGCAATTTCTGTTATGCACACTGAATTGTCTTCGATTTTTACCCGAACATGACCAGAAGCACATGGGGGGTGGGGGGGGGGGGTGTGATCTGCTTGTGAACAGGGGATGCTCACTCCCCTATGGCACCTGATTCCACCTCTGATGTTTTTAGGCCCGTGTTTTCTCTGCTCCGAAATGATAAAACTCAAACGAGACCATTGATATCCCTGTTTCATTAACTTGTTTGACAAAAGTTTGCCTAGCTTTGGAAATATTGTTCATACATATCCAGCATGCTATCGTGTATCGAATCATATTAGACACTAAACCGCATATACAGGTGATATATGATAAAAACATCTTTTATATAGTTACAGATGACATAAACTATTCATTTTTACCACGTGATATTGCCATTTCCAAAATGTAAAATCTTATATTGGAATGATTGATATCACCTTTTCGAATAGGTTATATCATATACTTATATAATTGCAGTTTGAAAGATTGAATAGATGATATCTTTAAATGGCAATAAATACCAAAACTGTGCTTGGTGGTTTATAAACATACCGTCGTCATGGGCGACACGGGTAAAATTAACTTAATATAAGATCAATGTTTATTGTTTATTAATTAAAGAGAGCTACAAATCAATTCCTTCGTTTTGAATAAAGTTCTTTAGAATTGTTTGTTTGAGAACAAAGTCCCATAGAACTAGCAATGTGTGTTTCTTTGTTTGAAGAGTTTAAAGATTACAACTAAATGTAATTACCTTCTGTGACAAGCACAAATTCCAAAAAAGTTGCAATTTACCGTATACGAAGAAGAAATGGAGGGCGAAGAAAATGTTGTGGAGGACCCTTTCCCCGAGGAGCCTGGTATTACCGACATAGCTCTTATCGTGGAGGATAGAGAAATCCACACCATTAAAGCCTTCTTAATGAGTGTTTCTCCGGTATTCAAAGCCATGTTCACCTCCGATTTTAAAGATAAATCAGAACAAAGGATACATTTCCCAGAGAAAAAGTACGATGATTTCGTGTTATTTTTAAAAATGTTACACCGCAAGGAATACTTAGAACTAAACGGTGAGATATTATGCTTCTTATGCATTGTTTCAAAGTTACTAATACTCAATAAATTCTCCACAAAATACATAGATATACTTTTGCTTCAAATGAATTATGTCTACTTAAACATAAACCGAATTTTTAATCCTTTATCTATATGATCATATTGTTATTTACCAGAAATCCCTCTGGAGGAAACCAACAATTTTTTTATCATCTTCATGAGTTTTTCCTGAAATTCTTTATAATGCATTTCACAGAGGACAAAGTGTTCAAAGCGAATCCTTCCGCTGGCAAGAGAATATGAAACACGGCAGATAGTGAAAGACTGTGAAGCCTGGATGATATCACGACTGTCTGTAAAGAAAAGTCAAGAAAATGCTTTCATGTGGAGGGGCAACAGATCTCAGGATCTTTATTACCTGATTGAATGGTTGACAATTGCAGACGATTATCATCTTAAGAATCTCCGTTGCAACCTTTTTGACATCATCACAAAGTACGATTTTCTGATGTCATTAGATAACTGTGGAGCTTATAAACGTCTATCCCCTGAGACAAAAACAGAAATTTTAGAAAAAAGACTATCCAATGTTGAAAAGAGCATACATGTACGCGATGCATATCGCTGTGCATGTCAAAGTGATTATGCTTTGAACTGTCCCATTGCAAAAATAAGAGAGGACATGTGGATCTATAAATAATAACAAGACTGATATATTACCTTTAAGCAAAACTTAAACAGTAGAAACTTTAAACAAAATCTATTTCCTCTTGGAATTTCTTGTATCAATTCCTACGATAATGAAATCCAAATGTGTTATTATTCTGTAACAATGTCTTATTTTATAGATGCAAAAATTAAAAGGCTCCATATTTTATTAGAAAAGGTCAATAAGATGGTTCACCTCTTATTTTACTTTTTGATCTGACACGTTACTTGGACTTTCTCATTATAACCGTATGGGAGACGGGGATATCATTAGTGAGATCATTCCTCACAAAACCTCTAACTTTGCTTTCTTTCTTAACTCTCAGGAATCCTTCTGCACAATGAACTTAAAAGGTATTTAACACTTATTTACACCGTGTGATAGAACATTTTAAACGGAAATCAGTTTTCAGTAAAAGAAACAGTTGAAAACT